GGTAGTGCAGTTGGTTAATAATACCAACATGGTGACATGCAAATTTCAGAGGTGGACGGCGACTGTTGGTATCTTCAAAAATATGCAACTTTCATTAATAATTTTCTGCTCTTTGTTCGTAAAATAAAAATATTGCGGAAATAAAAAAAATAGCGACTGCAGCTAGTAATGTGCAAGGACCCGCACAGTTAAGATCTTAGGATCTTAAGATTAGGTTAGCCAAGAAAATGAAGGTACCATCTCGAAAGGATTAATGATCAGCGTACTTGGTTGAGGCATTATGCTACAAGCCGGAAGGTCGCGGGTTCGAGTCCCGATGAGGTTTAATTTTTTCCCAGTTTACCTAATCTTTCCAGTCGCACTATGGCCCTGGGGTCGACTCATCCTCAAACATAAATTAATACAAGTAATCTTCCTGGGGTAAAGGGCGGCCGGCTCCTAAGGCTGACGACCTCACCGCCATCTATGAGCCGATTGTCTAGAAAATAAGGGAGCCTCGACGACTCACAACACTAAGGGCGTCCACGGCCTGTTACAGGGCTAGCTTTACGTTTTACCTCTTTTTACGAGAGACAACTTTACCCTTGCTATTACTCAAATTTCAAACTGACGCCAAGACTTCTGACTGCAGTTCAGTTTTATTGTCAGTTGGAATGTTCCCTGGGTTTGTGAACGTTTTTGTCTTTGCGAGGGTAGACTCTCTATTGTCAGGAAAGTATAGGAGAGTTTGAAGTTCCAGGCTTCCTGTCCCTCTACCTTGGACTGCTATGGTTGTCTGCCCATTTTCCGGTATAGTCACTGCGAAAAACAGGTCAGTGAAAATGTAGTAGAGTGAAGCGAGGAATTTCATAATTTTTATTCGTAACAAAATGTTATGTAACTAAGTGTTCTCGAAAGAAAAGAAACCAACCATTAAAACATTGATGACAGATCCATAACAAGACAAGGAACGGTACACGATAAAGTTTTGTAAAGCTATGGCATCCCTGTATCTACTTACCTGTGGATGATATATTTTGACTATAAACAACAATAACAACAACAGCAACAACAGACAGGAAGCAAAAATTGAAACTGCAGAAGGACCAAATAAGAAATGAAGAATTTGGGAAGAACTGAACATTTAAATGTAAATAATAAAATTCAGATGACAGTGGAAACATCAATTCCTACTAATGGAATACAGAAGAACATTAACATGGAACCCAAAAATAACACGAAACATAGGGCACCCACACTTAAGAAGGGGGGACCAGCATGCTCTTCAAGCCGAATGGCTAGACCAAGCATAGCCTAATCCATGAAGATGACGAAATGTTATGAGGGCTATTGTTTTGTTTATTGCTAGTGGGGTGGGACTGAGTCCCTTGTACTGCGGCCACTTCTGGCCTATTATACCAGTCTCAGATGATAGGTGAGGGTGATTGTGGAGCAATTGGTGGAATGAAGATTGGCAAGGGAAACCGAAGTACTCGGAGAAAACCTGCCCCAGCGCCACTTTGTCCACCACAAATCACGCTTGACCAGACCCGGGACCGAACCCGGGCCGCCGCGGTGGGAAGCGAGCGACTAACAGCTTGAGCTATGGCGCGGCCTTATTAGGACTAAGTATTTATCATGGAAGGGGGCATAAACAATATATATGACTTTTCTTCTGAAAACTTGAAGGGAAGAGACAACTGGGCAGAGCTATGCATAAATGGGTGGATAGTATTAAGATGTGAGAGCGGGAACTGGAGTGACGGGAACGGCGGCACGATCTGATCTGTAACAGGCCGTGGAGGTCCATGGCGTTGTGAGACGTCGAGGCTGTCAAATTTTTTAGACACTCGGCTCACAGATGGCCGTGAGGTTGTCATCCTTTCGCTCCGGCCGCTCTTTGCCTCCCAAGAAGATTCCTGGTACTCATTTCTGCTAGAGTCTGAGTCGACCCCGGGGTCATAGTGCGGCTGGAAGGATTAGGTAAACTGAAAAAAAATCCAATGACCTCGTGATTCGATCCCGCGACCTTCCGGTTTGTAGCATAGTGCCTCAACCAACTACGCTACCGCTTGCCCACACTGGTACCGGTTCCATATAAAAATGATGGAATTTTTTAATTAGCTGAGCAACTATCAGCTACTCAAATAGGACTTTGTTAGTTACAGTTGTAGTTAGGTAGCGAGATAGATGGCAAGGGCTGTTGTGTTGTAGTCTTGCTATCAGCATTTCGAAATGTAAGTAAACTAACGAATGGCTGGCATCTTATCTGGTAAGTCGTGCCTTGCTCGACTCGCGCCTGGATTCTTGCCTGGGTGACGCTTAATTGCGTGCTCTGTTATATGTTTCAATTGATTAGATCCACATCCAAATCGATACGTTGACAGCCCCTACAGTCACGCGATCACAGCCAAGTAAGGTATGTAAATGAAAGAACTGAACGTGTATTTCATCCTACGCCGGATTATTGATTTGTCTTGTTACACACTGCGAGGCCATGTCGGCTTGTACCTCTACGTTTAGAGACCGCCTCTGTGGGCTAGTGGTCAGAGTTCCCGGCTACAGATCCAGAGGTCCAGGTTTGATTCCCGGTGCTACCAGATTTTCTGAGAAGTAGTGGGTGTGGAACGGGGTCCACTCAGCCTCGTGATGATAATTGAGGAGCAATTTCAAGGAAATAGCGGTTTCGGTCTAGAAAACCGAAATTAATGGCCGTGGTGATTCGTTGCGCCGACCACTCGACACCCTCTATACGCTAAAGGTGGCACTAACTTCGCCGACAAGCGGCGGTCGCTCGGTCGGTATAGTTCGCTTGCGGACTCAAGCCATGGAGTTTTTTTCTTCTTGATGCCTAATGTTAACTCTCTGTCATAATGATTTCATCCTAAATGGAGAATGCTCTGTTCGGAGGGAAAATATTTTTTACATATACGTTTACAGAAGCCCAGTATGGGCAAGATTTCTGTCCTGTCCAAAGCGTCCAGATCGGCTGTGGGGCTCACCCAACCTCCTGTCCAATGGTTACGTGGGGCGATCTCCCGGGGGTAAAGCGGCAGCAGCGTGATGGTGACTACTCACCACCGTATAGTACCGAAGTCAAGAAGGGTCGGGCTATACCTCCACTCCTCCATATTCTGTAATGGCATAGTAAATTAAGTAAGTAAACGTATCCCTGTAACAGGCCGTGGAAGCCCATATGGTTGTGAGACGTTGAGGTTCCCACATTTTCTAGACAGTCGGCTCATAGATGGCGGTAAGGTTGTCAGCCCTACGCGCCGGCCCCCCTTTAGCCCCAGGAATAATCCTGGTGCTCATTTCTGTTAGAGGCTTAATCAACCCCAGGGCCATAGTAGGGCTGGAAGGATTAGGTCAATTGAAAAAAATTCAATGACCTCATCTGGACTTGAACCCGCGAACTTCCGGCTGGTAGCATAGTGCCTCAACCAACTAAGCTACCGCGTGCCCCCTCATGGCATAGTGCTTACTTAATTAAGCACAGAGATAAGTTTACTTTTTTACTGAGAATTTCTCTACTCTTCATTTGGATGGTCGGAATTCAATTGCTGTCGGGGCAGTGATCTTTATCTTGGCCACTGTTCTGAGATCGGCTCTGGGGCCCACCCAACTTCTTATCCTGTGGGACTCGTCTGTTCCCCCCGGAGGTTATACGGGTTGTGCTTGCCGTGCGGGGGGTAAGAATGTGAGGAGTTTTATAATGGAGCTTTATCCGTATTTACTAAAGGTTATTCGTATAAACGCCAATTAGCTGAGTGGGATGGGGTTCCCTCGACCAAACCATCTAAGGAAAAACTATTTTTATGCATGCATATGTGACGAGGAGGGTTGTCCAACTTCACATTCAGGAATTCCCGCCATACAAGTGTTTTGAGGTGCAGCACAAATTTCTCTTCAGCTTAGTGGTCAATTGCAACCGTTTCCGCATAAAACTACTACTCAAGATGTGACATGGAGAGAGGATAGTGCTAGCTTGGAAGCAGTCAGAAGTGCTGTGTTTCAGCTGCTGAAGGCAGATACTGCCAAGCCAGAAGATGTTTTGGGCATTGCGTGCTTCTAGAGTGCTTGCACATGCAGTTCTATTTTCAAGAGATGCAAACGTTAACAGTGTGAGTGGGAGCGCCAGAAGTTATTACTTGAGATAATTTAGGATTCTTGTGCTCTAAAGCAGTGAAAGTATACACGAAAAGGCTGAACCTTGCGAATTATCTACGGTGGTCTGATGACAAGAGAGTCACAGGGCGAGAGTTTAGTTTAGTTCAGTTTATGTAGGATTTGAGGTTCCCACAGCAGTGGTTATGAAGAGCACTCTCTTCTTAGATATAACGCCGTGTAGTCCGTTGGAAGTCAGACGGACGTTTCGGAGGAGCATATAGCCTCCATCTGTGGGGTCGAGTAGGCGACATTGTTCCTCCGAAACGTCGATTGACTTTCAATGAACAACACGACGTTATATCGCAGAAGCTGGTACTCTTTGTTCAGTTTAGGCGACATGGTCCCCCAAAACGTCGGTGAACGTTCAACGGACTACACGGCGTTATATCCCAGAAGATAGACCTCTTCGAGAGTTTAGTTTATCGCGATATTACTGCAATTTTATATGAGAATAACTAAAGGAAGTTACAAGGAACTAGGTGTTCGTCGAGTAAGAACTGCAAATTGAGTGACTCAATTGGAAGAAGGTCCCTGGATTGAGTACCATAGTAACACTCCAGAAATGTCTCACAGTGTTTTCATTCCCGCGTGATGTTCCCGTATTATCTCTGTATCTTGTGATTTTCCGTTCATAATCACCATACACTTAACTGCGTTACACTGTAATATGAGAAATATAAGGTTCAGAACTGATACTACCGAAGTCAGTCATTTGACAGAAATTAAGTCAGCCTCATCCATTTCCCATCCTCACAAAACACCTCTCTCTGTCTCCAAGATCCACATTACAAAAACATTTCCGTGGCCTGTAGTCCGCAAGGTTGTAATTTTGTAACAATATTTGTTGTCAGGCGATTTCCGCAAGTTCCTTCTGGAGACGGCTCAGTTGCTGGAACCTGCTTCAGTTTTCTCTGCCGGTCGTTGTGATGCCACTCCTCCATTTCAGCTGTCGCAGGTATTGAATTGAATTGAATTTATTTACATTCTATAAATCCTAAGCAGGTTAGTACCTATGTACTATTGGCTCGGCCAGCTAATAGCCTATAATATTTCGAAACTCTGTCAGCAGGATTTCATCTGGGGCGATGCCTGTATAATAGGCCCAAACACGAAAGAAAGAGTTGAGAATATTCCACGTAGAGCTTCTCCCCCCCCCCTCCTCTGAAGACCAACGAGAAAATTCAATGACCAGTGACGAACCATTAGAAAAACGACTGCAGTAATTAATGTGCCTTGAGTTCAAGTAGAAGGTACAAGGTAAAATTAACCCTAGGCTTTAATTGATTGAGCACTACGCCATGAAGACGCATGGGATAGCGGAGGTATAGCTCCACCTTTCTTATCCTTGGCACTGGATGGCGGTGAAGGGGCCAGCTTCAAACTTCTGCTGCTTTAGCCCCAGGGAAACAGCCCATGGTACCCACTGTATAAGAGACTGGGTGGTCCCAGAGTCTATCTGGACGTTGTGAAGAAAATATCTTGCCCCTGCCAGAAATCGAACCCCGTCTTCTCGGCAGTCCAGCCCGAAGACTACTGGGTATACCGACGCCATCGCTTGCACATTGCAGAATTTTAATTAGATCCCATACCTTCAGTCCAAGCGGGGTGCCGGGATAGCGTAGTCGGTATAGCGACTGGCCACGGGCTGGACGACCGGGGGTCGGAATTCGAGTACCTGTAAGGTCATGAATTTTCTCTTCTCCACGTCGTCCAGATCGGCTCTCGGGCCCAACCAACCTCCTATCCAATGGGTACCGGGGACTCTTTCGCCGGGGGTGAAGCGGCCGGGCCGTGAAGCTGACCACTGACCTCCAAGTAGTGCCGAGGTCAAGAAAACGTGGGTCTATACATCCACTCCCACGCACGTTTTCATGGCGTAGTGCTTAATTAGTTAAGCATAGGAACAACTTTATCTTTTTACCTTTACCTTAAGTCCAAGTATGATATTTAATTACTCGTACGGTTCGGCAATGTGCAAAAGAGAGTAAAATATATACAGAATTTCAAATCCCATGACAATGAGCGACCTGCGGACTGCATGCAGTACAGTCAATTCCAGGTACTTCCCATCGGCCTGTGTATGTCAAATATAGCCCTACATCATACCCAATAAATCAGCCATTGCATAATAGTTGTAGAGCATCAGTAGTCTCTGAACTTGCAACGTTTTCCAGGTCTTCTGAGAGCTCTGAGCTATTTCAGACATTCTGTATAAATTAAGTGAAGTCGCCTGCAATACAACATGGCAACACCGGGAGCTACCGATTGTCTTGGGTGACCAGACGTAGACAGACTACAGAACTGAAATGGGCGGCAAACCGAACAGCAGATGTCGTGTGGGAAACTGGTTTTGGAACTTTTCTCTCTCTCTCTCTCTCTCTCTCTCCTTTTGAACTTAGAATTATTTTCGAGCGATGGGCAGGTGTCTGGATTGTGGCGGCCGGGCGGAAGCGTGTACGTTATGTTGGCGGGCTCTGTGATCAGATGGCAGCAGAGAAAGGAAGAGTTCATTCTTGCGCAGCGCTTTGACCTGCTGCTGTTATAAGTATATTCCCGGGATCGACTCGTGCCGCCGTGGGTTGACATTGGTCGGCCGCCAGTCGAGGTTCAGACGTCACTCACTTCTTTCCCCTTTCAGGCTATTTTACCAGAAGGGAGAAACTGTGTTAGCCTGAAGAAAACCGTCTTCTGGGACGTGGCGCCGTGTAGAAATACGCGAACGAACCAGCTAGAGCGGATTTCTTCTTGTCTTCTACCCTGAAGATGGAGGCGATACGTTCCTCCGAAACGTCGGTTAACACAATTTCTACACGGCGCCACATCCCAGAAGACGGCTTTCATCACCGCCGTGAAAACCTCAAATCTTGCACTGTGTTAGCCTGTTTGATGGGCCACCTTTTTATCTACTGTGCCCTGATGATTTTGACTACAGCTGTATTTAGGGGTTACTCTACTAGGGGGCTGTCTTTAGTCTACTTTCCTTATTTTGAAAAAATAAAAGTAGGCTTATGCGATCACAGTGATGTCTGTGTGTCTGTGTATTCCCCCTAACAACTTTTGAATGGCTGAACCAGTTTTTATGAAGATTGGTATGTATAGCGTGGCACCTGAGCCCACCTCAGCGGCATAATTCATAAATCATTCCCATCAATCTGTGTGTCTATGTGTGTATCCCTGTGTCGTTTTTAGGCAACGGTTCGGTAAAAACGTTACAGCGGCAACGGATACATACGCAACAGTAGAAGAATTGTTGGACATGTTTTCTGTGCGGTCCTTGTCTTATCAAAGAAACGTAAGGGGTTAGTTCTTCCCAAAACTTTTTTTTTAATTTGTGCTACATCAATAAAAGAAAATAGAGTTAGAAGTGCCATAATAAGTTCTTAAGTAATTGGATTCGAATTGGTTTTGTACCAAAGTATACGGGATTTTGTAAATGGTGACAATATAATTTTTTTCTTTCTTGGGGGTTTGCATTCTAAGGATTCATTAATACAGTGTCTGAATAGCGTGAACTTGTAGCGAACAAATGGGGTCTGTTTATCAGATCTGTTACAGATGGAGGGGTCGTAGACCGAGGAAATTAAGAGTTTTCACTCGAAGTGAAAGTTGCAGCAAGGCTGCCGTAACCCGTTCGGTGTTCTCCACAGAGCTTGATGTGCTGCGACACTGTAAGACATCATACAAAAATAAAACAAAGCCAAAGTTTTCCCTGCCCTGATTAAATACAAACCAAGAAGACTTATGCTTAACTTAGCGGCCTCCGTAGTCTAGGGGTAACGTTCCAACCTCATGAATCAAGGTACGCGGGTTCAAACCCGGCGGAGGTCGTGGAATTTTTAAGGGCGGAAAAATTCAGAGAACAAGTCCTCCGGGAGGGACTTTAAGCCGTGGGTCCCCTGTCGTAGATTTACGGCACGTAAAAGATCCTCATGTAGTTTCCAATGCCTCTGGTAGATGGGGGAAATATCAGGTACCGAGGGCCGACCTCGTTGGCTGAACGGGGCTGATAGCACGCACCAGTACCGATAGGGTATGGAGACAGTAGAAATTAAAGGGGGACGCACAATGGACCAATAACTGGTCTAAGTGCATGGGAAACCCACCCCCTCTAATAATAATAATAATAATAATAATAATAATATGCTTAACTTCAGCACTAGAAAAGGTGAGTGGTTAGGTTCGCTTCCCAGTCGCATTACCCCCAGGGTACCCATTAGGTAAGGGCTGGGTGGGTCCCAGAACCGAACTGGACGTTCTGGAGGAAAGAGGATTATTTTGTTGCTGTCGGAAATTGAACCTCGATTCCTTGGCTGTCCGGCCTGCGGCCCAGTCTCTATTCCGGCTCCTCATATGGAAATTTATATTCCCAAGTTAGCAGAACAAAACAGATTTCTTGAAACTGTAAAATGGCAGTGAAATGCAAAATAATGAAGCATTTCTTAGACATATACGTCTTTTTGATATAATTTTCCACTTATTTATGCAACACCATGAACTGTGGGGCTTCTGCGCAGTGCTCATGTTGGTGTGCTTAGTTATTGTCATATCTGCATATGTATTTGCATGGCTTCTGAAGGAAGTGGTCGTACAGGGTGAAAAATCAGCAGACATCACGAGTTTGATTAAGTTACTGGTTTATGTAAGTAAAGCTATCCCTGTAACAGGCAGTGGAGGCCCATAGGGTTGTGAGATGTTGAGGCTCCCACATTTTCTAGAAAATCGGCTCATAGTTGGCGGCAAGGTTGTCAGCCTTACGCACTGGCCGCCCTTTACCCCCAGGAATATTCCTGGTGCTCATTTCTCTTAGAGTCGACCCCAAGGCCTAGTGCAGCTGGAAGGATTAGGTCAATTGAAAAAAATCCAGTGACCTCATCGGGACTTGAACCCGCGACCTTCTGGCTTGTAGCATAGTGCCTCAACCAACTGCGCTACCGCGTGCCCCCACTGGTTTATTTAACGACTTTTTTTTAGATACATTGGTTGTAGTGTGGAATGTTTCGATAATCGTGGAGGATGCCCTGTAAGGAATGCGGAAGAGATTGTGACCTATGTTAAGGTCCTGTGTGCACATTTCCCTGACCGATGTTTAAATTCAGGAAATCTCCGCTAGAAGTAGGAGTGCTAAGGCTCGACCGTGGCGTGAAGTTTTCCTTGTTAAAAAAATAAAGGATCTAGTGCTCTTGGGTACTGAAATCTGTTTTCTTTTGGTGTGTGTGTGTGGGGGGGGGGTAAAATATACCATGTAACCTAACACATGAATGAGCTTGTACATATCATAGAAACAGTATCAAGCCAAAGCAATGACCTTATACGTAATGTACCACCTGGATTATTGCCAATGACGCATTTTCTATTTTACGTGTAGGCAGTACTGCTCTAAACTAACAGCAGGCACAAGATCATTAAACTATTGACAATATAAACATCTTGCTTTTCGTAAAAATTGACTCATGTCCTGTATAACTTCATGTTTTGTATGCCCCTTAAATGTACTAGGTCGTGATGTACTGCCTCTTCATTTGTTGTATCCAAGTAAGAGCATATCAACAGAAGTCAACGCATGTCGTCCGTCCGTAGCAGTCAAGCTTAAGTTGGGACTCCGTAACAGAAGAGCAGTCTGTGAAGAACACGTTCTAAATTAGTGCCACTGCATCACCAAACGTCCGCAGGCGGTTCTAAATCTGTACTCAATGAGTGCATTGCCAAGAAAGCGCAGGAAGCCACTGACCATGGCAGAAATTGGCACTGAAGTAAGCCATATATAGATTGATCAAGGAGCTTTAGTGAAATTATGTCTCATTGTTTCGTACCTTACTTAGGAGTAAGAATTTTTTTTTTACCTTGGAACTCTGCGGAGTTGTCTTGTCTGACGGACAGTAGGATGACGTACGGATAGGTCCACAGGACGTCATATTGCACCAGGCATAAAAAGTGCAATATTTTCTTTATTCTTCT